GGCATGATCTCTGCGCCGCGACCTGACCACTCCAATCTGGGTCGATAGACCCTACCCTCTCATCTCCGGCTCTAATCTACAGCTTTCAGCGACTCGGCGCACCTACTTTTGCGCTACACCTCATCTCTAGTTGCTTACTACCTTCGCTCGCTGAAACGAGCCTCGGCTTCTTCGCCCCTCTCTCACCTAGACGCCTTGATTCTCGAAGCTGCCTCCCGATCGAGCGGGATGGTCGGACCCTGCCCACCCAGCTGGGTAGCTTAGCAACCGCCCGCTAGCCCGATCTCTCCTTGGTGAAGTGTTGCTGCGATCCTCAGCAGGCGCTCTTCGAATTCTGCCCTGTTTCCGCCCGGCATTTGTCCATGGCTCCAGCTCACCTTTCCTCCTGATGCAAAGTGCCGTGGCGGACGCTGCATGATCAAGACAACGCTACACTACAAAGACAACACTGCTTACAATGACGAGATTGCACACTCAAGACTCGACCGCCTACGACGACAAAAATAGGGTTACGGGAAAAGTGGTATCGAAGTTACATAGAGCGGGCAGGGTTGAAAGCGTGGACGCGTGCTCGGGGTGATTCAACGCGACGCGATCTTTTGGAAGTTGTGCGGCTAGACGGGAGCGGCGCAACCGAACGAAGTCGCCGCAGGGCTCGACTCGAACGTCTCCTTGATCGACTCGCCCGATCCGTACATTCCGAGGCCGGACAGGGTGTATGCACCCAGGGTGACGAAGAGCAGAATGGCCTTGACGAGGATGCCTGGAATGACGACGTTCTTTCCAAACAGCAAGGGGTATTCGTAGTGTCCCCCAAACAGGCCTCTGCGCCACCTGCTCCACTGGGCCCAAGTGTCCTGCCTCTGACCGGCGTAACCAGGCGTGAAGGGCACGTCACCCTCCATCGCATCGCGCTTAATGTAAAAGATGAGTGCGAGCATGAAGGGGAACGAGTAGGAAAAGTTCATGATCGCAATAGCCGCAATCAGACCCGAAATCGTCTGCACCTGGGGAATCGACGAAGCAATCACGAAGGCAAGGGCCCAGTAGACGACCGAGATGGAGGCCCAGATAACCCGACCGCGAGGGGTGTTGAGTGCAGGACCCTTCATGAACGACTGCACCGTGTTGACGTAGATGACCTTGAGACCGACATTGCCGTAGAGCGCAGCGGCGATGGTGCCCGAAAGAATGGCGAGCATGTTGCAGACCGTCTGGAACGAGTACTTGTCAATACCGTTATACGACTGGCCCAGCACGTATTGGCCCTGGTAGGCGTAGATCACGTTGGCATAGACGAGGTACACCGTGCAGATGAGGGCTTGAGCAGAGATCATGCC